GGCCCAACTATTTATGAATACAATGCTTATTCTACGCAAATCAGGCTACTGATAAAATGAATCAAAATGGACCATATGGACAAAACAACAATTAACTGACTTCCCTCGAGTTCGCTCACCTAAATCTTTTAAGAATCCCAAGAACAAATTTCCAACTAATGGCTTCCTAATTTCGCTGATTGGGACAAGACCTTGCCGTAAATCAACAGACGCAAGAACAAAGTCTTCAGTCGCGCATTCCTAGAAGATGAGGCTGCATTCCATGATTTTCAACACGAAGGCGTTTAATAACTCACTTGGGACGCGCAAACATTTAAAAGAACTTTGAATACATCACCAAGCACTTGAGTGATTAATCCGTCAACTCCAGAGTTAATTTGATCCAGAGACAGACCATCTTGGGACTCGTCGTCCGTGAAGAGGACTGGGATGATGTTGACGGCATTAAGCAACTTGGGAAAGAGCTTATGGTTGATGATGTATGTCATGTGCTTCAACTGACTACCTGGAGAAGGACGACGACTGCGATCAACCATCTACTGAAAGATTTTTATTTAGTGAAGAGATAACAGCCATCTTGCCATATTTAGTCAGTGAAAGAGATGCTACTCAGAGATTTTAGTGAGTGAGAGATGACAAATGCTACTGAGAGCCAATTGAGAGACCAATTCCCTGTCCTCACTGTTATCTCCATAAACGTACCGATTGCAAGATCTTTCTCCACGGAAGTTCTACAAAAACAAAGAAAACGGGATGATGGAATGAACATTTCTTCGAAACCAGAACATTGTAGGAAGGGATTGCATGGATCCTTACTCGTCTTCATTAATTGTGCAAATGATCTTTTGAAAGTCTTGATGAATATAACTGCTCCATAAATCAAGCAAATAAGGAGGACTGAATTCGGGAGACGGAGATATTTTTCGGCACGAAAATAACATTTTTATTCCTTTGTTTGCATCAAAATTCAAAACACCATCAGAGTTTGCGATAGCATCACGTAAACACTGACGTGCTGTAGTGAACAGTTCAGAAGTCTGCGAAAATGGAGACGAAATTTGAGACGACATTTGAATGAACGAAAAGTGAGTAGTTCGCGCAAAGTGCTCCACTCAAGACAGATCAAAACAGCTCACAGTTGAATACACTTGATTAAATGGCTGCTGCTTCCGAAATTCGTGCAAAAAATCAAAAGAATCCACATACGATGAAACCGCATCAATGAAACGCTTCTCATCTATTGCCTGAAGAAATTGGAGAGTTGTAGTGTTCTTTCATCTGAAGCCTCTTACTTTTTTCATGGTTTCGGGAAGACTTAGAATTTCATCGAGCTTGGAAACCAAGTGTGAAAGCCTCGAAAGCTCCTAAAAGACACGTCAGATTTTTCCATCTTTTTTAAATGAGTGAATTTTTAATACTTGCATTGAGTTTTCTCGCATTTGTTTGCAAAGGTTCATAAATTTCCCACGTGTCTTTGAGAATGCCGTCTAGCTTTGTTGTAACTGCTGTGGAAATTGTTGCTGTGGCTTCGTCATTCGATTGCAACTGGATACCGTTGAAATTCAAAGTCTGCACAGTGTCAGCAGCAGCCAAAAATTCATTGTAATTGTCATAAACCAGTGTTTGCGCTGAGCTGTCCAATTGTTGGACCTCTTCATCCAATTCATTTGCAACTGTGAGGAGTTCGCGCAATGGTGCAGTGGACATCAACTCAGAGACAAATGTCGAAGGATCAATCCATTTGTTTGTCTTGATCGCTGACGATGCTTCTTCTGCTGATGAACTTTTTTGAGTGGTTGTTGTTGACCCCGCTGTTGTTCCATAAAACGCGTTCAATCGTTCCCCTAAACTTGTTGCGTTTGACGCCATTCTCAATTGAATAGAATTTTGAGTAATTTTCAACTCATATAATCAAAGCAGGTGGAATACGTTCAGATGGCGACCCCTTAAATCTTTCACATCCATTGACTGAGCCTACCACGCAAATACCGCGCTTTATTCAATATATGGTTCGTTGACTGGACCTTCTAAAATTCAGCAGAATACGCTGTATGAGTCTCACTAGACTGCCCCAGTGATTGGGACAGTAGGACTTGGTCATTAGTCAAGGTGTCTGCTCGCGTTTCGTTTGAATTTCCGTCGTAGCGCGTGACCAGCGACGACAAACTCCAAATCCTCACATCTGTTCAATTTGTAAGGAACGGTGGTTGCTATTCTGCCCCACATACGTTTTCTATTTGAATTTACGCCCTCTCTATTTTTAAGTAATTGATTTTTATATCTTGTGTTCTTTATTGATTTTCTTCAATTGAAAGTGTTTTTGTTTCTTTAGACATCGCAATGGAAGGTGCTGCTGCTGCGGCTGTCGCTGCACAATCTGTGTGCGTTCCTGAGTTCAAGTTGGTTCTCGTTGGAGATGGTGGGGTTGGAAAAACGACGCTAGTTCGACGACATTTAACGGGAGAATTCGAGAAGAAATACTTGCCTACTCTTGGTGTTGAGGTCCACCCTCTTTATTTTCAAACAAATTTTGGACCATTAAAGTTCAATGTTTGGGACACAGCTGGCCAGGAAAAATTTGGAGGCCTTCGTGACGGCTATTAGTAAGTCGACAGAAATTGGGTTGAATCAGAGAAAGGGATTCTTTTTGTTTCTTCAGCATAAAGGGTGAATGTGCAATCATTATGTTTGATGTTACTTCGCGGATAACGTACAAGAATGTCCCAAATTGGCATCGTGATGTCACCCGTGTCTGCGACAATATCCCTATTGTTCTTGTTGGAAATAAAGTTGACGTGAAGGAGCGCCAAGTAAAGGCAAAAAACATCCAGTTCCATCGTAAACGCAACCTTCAATACTATGATATTTCCGCTCGCTCGAATTACAATTTCGAGAAGCCCTTCCTTTGGTTAGCCCGTCGCTTGACAAATCAACCATCCCTCGGATTTGTGGGACAACACGCTAAAGCCCCCGAAATTGAAATTTCTGCTCAACTTATTCAAGAAGCAGAGGCTGAACTTCAACAAGCAGCCAACGCAGCGATTGATGACGATGATGACACGCTATGAGGCATTTCGCATGGTGCAGATCCTAAGACCCAACAACTTCGCAGCTTTTCGCCGTAGTTCCATTTTCTCTCGGTAGTCACTCTTTCGCTGATGTCCCATAGTTCAACCATTATTTCTAAACAACATCATATTGATCACGAACCGACATCCTTTGCCTACTTGTGAAATGAGTTTGTGATAATTTTGTAGAATTATTCAATTTTGGCATACTCTCGTATCTATTCATCGAAAATTCTTTCAAGAGCAACTTGCTCAAGTGTGCTATTTGACAACAAGACGGTTTCAATATTGCTGTGTCAGCGTCCCCCTTCCACGGATGCGCATCGCTAAGTGAAGATCTTTTACTTGGAGGGTCACGCGCTTTGCATGAATTGCACATAATAATCCGTCCTCAAACAAGCCAACTAAATAAGCTTCAGCTGCTGTTTGAAGAGCAAACAAGGCTTCTACTGTATAACGAACTCCTGCATCTCTTGGCCAGAACCGTTGTGTAATTTCGCGAACAACTCGAGCAAACGGAAGCTTTGGTATGAGAAAGTCGGTAGATGCCTGATACTTCCGAATTTCTTGCAGGGCTCTTGTACCTGGCCGATATCGCCGACGACGAGGAGCCGTATCCGCTGGCCGATGCACTGGTGCAAAAAATGACGAACTTGACGGCTGTTCTATTGAACGACGAGGGTTGAGATTCTTTGTACGAGGCATCCTTGGCCTACGGAGCAATCTCTTTTACTGGTAGGATCAAAAGGAAGGGTGGTGAAGGCATCTTCTTGACCTTTTGACTATTTGTCTCAAAAGTCTCAGTTCATGCTCCATTAAAAAAATGCTTGATTACACGGTAAAATCTGGATTTGCTGTTGGTTGAGAATATTTGCACATGATGCAACAAAAAGCAAAAAATTATTTTAGCAAGGGTTGGGATGCATCTAGTCATGAAAACGTTACTCGCCTTGTTGGTCGTAGTTGTAGCATTCAGTGGGGTTAGTCAAGTACTGTCCTCATATAATGCAGAAAGCGATTTTACTGACGACACTCCAGCGCCGATTAGATCCATACAGGAAAATTCACCTGAAGGCGACGCAATTGATGAATACTACCACAAAGCAAGAGGATGGCTGAAAAACGCATGGGCAACTATGAGAGGTACGCAACTCCGAGCAGCTTCAAATCTAGCTGCAACTGAACAGACTGGGCGAAAGCACAAGTTGAACGTTTCAATGGGGACGAAGAACAGGAAGAATCCGTCGTTGAAGATGTATCAAATCAGATGGAAGAGCCAATGAAAGAACGGTTGCGAAAGGTAGAAGCCATCAACGTGAATTCCTCTGATCAATTGCCGTAGGTTGTTTCTGATGTGGAGGCTTTAGCCAAATTGATCAAAGACCACGTTAACAAAACTGAACTCGAAGAAAACTCGGAACAATAGCCGACAAGCTGCATGAAAGGTTTCTACAGGTTTTAAGCTACCTTCGCTAAACCTATTCTCTTTTACTCTCCAAGGATGAATTCTCAGAAGGAGCAAATGTTTTTGATTTCGTTCCTTGAATGAGGCCATCACTAGAAATTGTTACACGGCTTCCTAAATCAAAGCCTTCTAATTCAGCCATCGAAAATTTGCGATTCTTGAAAGGGCAAACCCCTGCCGAATACAATTCTGGCTCGATTCTATGAGTTCATGTGACCTTACCGATGTCCGGGCTTGACGTCCTCCCCTCCCTTGCCAGCATCTCTTGGAATGGATCATCTGATATTTGATTCTCTGGAACAACCGCGGGAACAATCGAGGAAACAACTGCTTCTAATCGATTCATGGAAGAATTATTGATCTACGTGTACCAATACAAACGTTGCTTGATGTTCGAAGTTCAGAAAATAATTACACGCATTCAAGACTGGTTTCAATCTTGATCCCAGTCTCCAGTTTGTTGTGGTGGTTTGGGACCTCCAGCTGGTCTTGCCATAATTATTTGATCAACTCTCAAGACAGTTACTGCAGCATCTGCCGCTAATTTGATTGCACACTCCTTTGTCTTGTAATGATCAACAACTGGATTGTCACGCCCTTCAACCATTTCAGCAACACCATCCTCACTCAAACCCTAAAAGTTTGCAATGATTGAAGTTGTGCAACTGTTATCATTACCTCAACATCGACACCAACATTCTTCTTTCCGGCTTTATGGGCACCATAAAGTTGTGTGATGACCTCAGTCGCATACAACCCTGCGTTTTCCGCGATAACGCGAGCAATGCACTCCAAAGCTTCACCAAACTTCACAACGGCGTATTGTTCCAACCCAGGAACGGTTGCACCATAAGACTGAACAGAAAGAAACCCATCGGTTGCGTAATACAAACAAAAACATCAGCTATAAACACTGCTGAGAACGCCGCAATTGCTGGCCTTTGCGATTGCAAATCACGGAATTTACCTGAAGTCGCTGAGCGAGTTCAATTTCACAGGCACCGCCCCCTGCAACAAAACGGTTATCCTTTGCCAGATTCTTGATACAATGAACTCCATCATCAACTGTGCGCTCCACTTCTTCTAGAATATTTGGCGTTGCTCCTCGTAATACAATTGTTGCAACTTTAGAATCTCTTGCACGGATAATCGTCACTTGCTTGGATGAAACCTCCTCCACAACGATTGATTCAGCATAACCGACATCTTCAGCGCTTGGTGTTTCCTGAAATGAATTGGAACTTCAAGCAGAGAAGAGAAACGGGGTGAGCGAACAATTTTAGGATAACTGGGTCGGGAAACAGTTCCAGGTTGGATCCTATGCGGCTTACAAGTTTAACAAGAGCACTAGCTCCTAAAGTCCTACAAATTCGTTGCAATTCAAACTTTGATTGGCACTTTAATGTCAATATTTTGTACTTATTGCAGAAATGCTGTGCAATATCGCTGATAGCTCCGCCAACGATAATAGCTTCCACTCCGACGTCTGCGATACCCTTGATAATGTCTTCCATTTTTTGTTCTTCATCTTTAGAGAAATTGAGCAACTAAATGACAACAAAATAAGAAATTCAAGGCGCATCGCGATGCTCTCACTTGTTCAGCATTTTCAATCAAAACCGTTCCCTTAGCTTCAGTCGACGTCATCTCTAATCCGCATCCAAGAACCACCACTTTGCAGTTTTTCTTTTCATTGATTGTTCCGCTTGTATCTCTTGTGACAACCATTCCCTGGACAACATAAGATTGGTGCAGAGATCCTCCAATCAATTTAGCGACGCGAATGTTATCAAGGTTCAGATGAATTGGATTGGGCGGCATGATGATTGTCGCTGCTTGCGATATCAACGAAGCAAGATGGCCTTCTGAGCCTGTAAAGCAAAAGTCAGGAATTCAAATGGGAAGACGCAATTATTATTATTGGTAATTCAAAATGGAAAAGACTTTACCTAACGCCTTCGATGCGATTGAAGTTGAAACAGCTTTTTCTAGTTCAGTCACATTCTTGATGTCATTGACTTTATAGCAAACTAACTCTGAAAAACAAAAGGGTCAAAAATGCCTCGAAACCGAAGAAATTGGAATGAAAAATTTAATGCACGACGAGAACAAACAACTGAAAGAATTCATCAGAACAAATCAAGGAGGGGCTAAAAATACAATACAAACGTAAACATGGAACATGGAAGTCTCTGATAACTGGTATGCAAAGCTAGAGAAGCTAGCAAAGTTGTACACTAATGTAACAGTTAGTACGGCATCAGACGCGTACCTCCGAGAAGTGCAACAACCTTCTCTGCTGCCATTTCATAACCTTTGATTATATCTGCTGTGTGAAGTCCTTGTTTCAGCAACAACTCTGCCTGTCGTAGAAGTTCCCCCGCAAACACAACAACGAAATTTGTTGCATCACCGAACTCTTGTTCCTGTTCATAAGAAAGAAACAGTAAGAAAAAAACAATGCCACTAAGAATGTCTCACCTGCATTTTGGACGCAAGAGCCACAAGCTTCGCTGCGGGATGCTGCACTTCCAACTGTTCGATGATTGTTGCCGCATCACTTGTTACGAAAAGTTTCTCAATATGATTGAGAACCAATTTATTCATACCTGAACAGAACGCGCAGTTGAAATCAAACATAAGCTGATTGTTTGAGAATTGTATGATTACAGGTGACTTAATAGCTGGAAAACAGCCAGTTGCAAAGCCCCCCAAGTTCAGAACAAGAACGCTATGGGATCAAGCATCCCACAGAGTGGTCCTCATACGAAGGGTTCCCCACAACAAAGGAATGCTAAGGCTTACTGTTTGGCCCCAATGAGGTTCTTGTGATCGTTGCGAGTTTCCTGCAAGCATCGATGTTACGAAGAGTAGCTTCTTCGATTCCTGTAAAATGCTTCCCCCCCTCCTTGAGGAGGCTCATCAATCCTGGCCGCCCCTGAAACTGAACAAGGACGTGAAAAATACAGAGATTTGGTGAAACAGATCATATGCGATATGTCATGCTAATCATGGAGAGAGGGGATGCTGATAACAATTCTTGGTGCGAGTCCTTCGGCGTACCATTCGGGCAGAAGTGAGCGATTCGAGGATTAACAGACCTGTCACCAGAGGATGGCTGAAAATGTCCCAAGATATGACTGGGCTGTCAGGACTGTTGAAGGAACACAGTCGAGGATTTTAGAAGACATTTAAGCAACTCTGCAACAGGGAGAATTGATGTGTGGCCGCACAAGTTGTTTTGGATGTTTGTTACAATGCCGAAAAAATTACAAAATGAAAATTGTGAAAAACTGATGCTCTGCTAAATCCCGTTCGTATTTTTAATCATTGGCATCAACACTGAATGGGAAGTTGGTCCTAGTCGTTTATCTGAATTAGATGGGATCGAATTCATTGAAGGTCAGTATGGAACTAGACGGGGGATTGAAGACAGACTTTATTAAGACCTCAGTGTCGATTGTTGATTAATCAGCCTTGATCTTGAAAAGTTGTGAAAATACTGAAACCAGAATAATTCTAGACATTCCTTCATGATGTGCTGCGGACATCATTCTTTAGAACCTCCCGAACCCTTCTTTATTCTTTCACGTATTCTTGCATGCTTTCGAACCTCGGGTCTTAACGGACAAATTAGGAATGACTTCCGTCATATCCCACATACAAGAACCAGATCTCATTTCTGATGGATTTGGAGGAGGAATCCAGAGCGAAATTATTTCATAGACCATTAATTAAAACAAACATAAGTCAGTAATCAGACGCACTTAAATAGAATAACGCTACCACTTACTTCAAACGCTTTAATGTTGCCATCAGTAGGATAAACTAACCTGTCTCGCGACATATTTGGCAAAACTGCATTTGAATAGAGGATTAACTGCAGCGCTTCATTGAATGGAATATGACTCTTCGTTCTTGTTGAGGTCGAAACAACTTCTTCAATGTTTTCAATTATCTTTCTTGCGGCTTCACAATTTCGATCATCTTATACAAGTTCTTGTTGCTTCCAAGGTGTTTCACCCTTCTCGTCAATCGCGTGCCTTGAACGTGTTGTTTTAATAGGGACCAGTGCCGTAACTCAGAGAGGGGATTGAGGATGTTTGGTTTGTGGTACAAGTGTGGGACATAGGTAAAACTACTGCTGTCACAGAGAATGCTGTTCCAACAGAACGGGATTCTTCGTTCTTGTTAAGACACCTTTTCCCACTGCACTTGCTGATATCTTCAAGGCACTTTA